GCCCTGTACCAGCCTCAGCCTTTTTATGGAGAACTAGTTTTTTTTCTTCTTTAAATGTCAGTGGTTTACAAACTGTATGTAAAATGGTAGACTACTGATAAAACTGACACTAATTTTATTTTTACTCTTCATCATGTTTGATGTTTTTTATTTAATTTTGGTAAATGTGTGAACTTTAGTCCATTACCAGTTCAGACCTGCAGGGTTGTTTCTTTTTTTTTTTACCACAGGAGCAGAAACTCATGTTGACATTTTTTAAGTCATTTTTGAAGTAAAACGTTTATTCAGCTGTTGCACTGCTAAAATGTCACTATATGCTAATAAATCGCTAACACACCTCTGTGTTGCTAAACCCCTGCTAACACGTAGGATGCTAGCGTGATGGTAGGATCAGAATAAATGGTTTTTTATATTTTCAGGGAAAAAACTGGACCCAGTTTATGGGATTAGACAAACATGGGATGGATCATATATTGTGTATTTAGCACCACCTAAAGGCCAGGGGAGGCAGACCACATGCTCAATGCTGGCCATCTACAAATACAATGAGAATGAATCTAAACAGCAGACTGAACCTTTAACTACACACACACACATGCAGATAATCCAGTGGTCCACAGGTGCTGCTGGGTCATGACGGTATGGCCCACTCCTCGTGGCGTCTCTGTCACTGAGGGGCTAAAAAGGAACAGTTGAAGTTCCACAGCCCTGTTCTGTGCTCTAATCTCCTGATGTGGGGTTTTCTTGGCAGCTGCAGCTCAGCCTGCAGGTGGCGTCTGACCTCAGAGCATGTGACACACGCACAGATAAGACACCGCCTCAGAACACACACACCAGCCCAGATTATGAGTCAATAACTGCAGAGTGTGTGGAGTTTACTGAAGTTTGGAACAGCAGTGGCGGTGGCAGTAACAGTAACAGTAACAACAGCAGCAGTAACAGTAACAACAGCAGCAGTAACAGTAACAACAGCAGCAGTAACAGAAACAGCAGTAACAGTAACAGCAGAAACAGTAACAGCAGCAGCAGTAACAGTAACAGCAACAGCAGCAGTAACAGCAGCAGTAACAGGAACAGCAGCAGTAACAGTAACAACAGCAGCAGTAACAGAAACAGCAGTAACAGTAACAGCAGTACCAGTAACAGCAGCAGCAGTAACAGCAGCAGCAGTAACAGCAACAGCAGCAGTAACAGTAACAGTAACAGTAACAACAGCAGCAGTAACAGAAACAGCAGTAACAGTAACAGCAGCAGTCACAGTAACAGCAGCAGTAACAGTACCAGCAGCAGTAACAGTAACAGCAGAAACAGTAACAGCAGTAACAGTACCAGCAGCAGCAGTAACAGTAACAGTAACAGCAGCAGCAGTGTTCAGTACAGGCCCAGTCCAGGGCCATGTTTACAGAGTTCTGTGGGTCTTATCTGTCATGGTGTAGACTGCATCATGGGTGCAGCAGCAGCAGACTAAACCCTGATAGACACACAGGTGGCTTCACGTGTTGAGCAGAACTTCATGGTCAAACACAGGGTTCTGATCTCAGACTGTGGATCGTCTTCAGTGAAGTGACCATAGGGTTCTGGTATGGATCTGTGACAGTTGTGTGAAGCTGTAGGAGGGGGAGTCAAAGTTCCCAGACAGAGTTGTTGACAGTGACAGTGTTGGTTCCTGCAGGTTTCCACTGGTGCTGCCTGAAAAGACCCAGACCCTCAGTCCTGGACCAGTCCAGGATAATCCCCTGCTAATAGCCTCATAACAATACACTACCTTCAGACGGGGGGCTATGGGTGGGCAGTTGTCATCAGTAATTACAGCTGTCCAGTCTTCCTGTCTGTCTGCCTGCTGCCCCACTTCAGGGACAACAATACATGAAGGGTCTGCTCCCCAATCTGCTGTCCGTCCACGCTGTCCTCCCACTACACCCACATACTCACCCGCTCACCCACCCATCTATACTTGTCTGTATCCCCTCCCTTAACTCCCCTGTCTGGTCTGTCTGTCATGGAGGGGCAGATGACCCTGAGGTTGGAGGATCCACCTGACTCCCCCACCCCACCATGGAAAAGGAGTGAATGCTGTGGGAATGTCACTGGGTGAATTCTATTTAATGCAACACACACACACATTTCTGTGTGTGTGTGTGGTTGTTTCACAGATGGCTCGTGCTGGACACACACCCCAGAGCTCCTCTCTGTCAAGTGTGTCGAACAGGTTTAATTGCTGCCGCCACTCTCTCGGTGTGTGTGTGTGTGTGTGTGTGTGTGTGCCACAGTCAGGCAGATGGAACCCCAACAATGACACAGGAACTGACTCTCTGCTCCTCCTGGTACAAAAGAGAAAGAGAGGAAGAAGGAGGGGCAGACAGAAGTAGAAGGGGGAGAAGGTGAGGTGGGGGAGGATAGTAAAATGCAGATTAAAATTGCACAGTTCTCAGTCATCAGCCCACTGCGCCCTATTTAACCCCCCAACAATAGAACAGAGTGGCGTCAAGTGGTTTGTTTGGGGGGGGGGGGTTCATAATCACACCTGACGTCTCAGATGGAACCTGTAATTGCATGTCCCCCCCACCAGGGGTAGAAATTTACATATTAAAGACACAGTCAGAGTGGAAAATGTCAGTGACCAACGGTTTTTGTTGGTACATTCAAACGTCATCACATGGGAATTTAACACCAACCCTGATCTAGAATTTGTATTTTGTTTGTGATATAGTTTGTATTTTTATGCTGATCGATCTTTAGCTCCTCTGGTCTCGTCATCACAGCTAGCTTCTTGCTTCTACTTGTTTGTCAAGGTGTTCTGAACTGTAACCCGTCGCTGTAACGTCCCTGCTGGGTTTAAATAATGTAATGGCCTGTCCGACTGCGACACTGACTGTACGACTGTAGACAACTACAGCCGTACAGTCACTTTGTTTTCTTTTTACATTATTGCCATTATTACTATCTGCTTAGTGAGAGGCAAACCACAGGGGGCAGGCTCATCAACCCCCCCTCCCCCCTCGCCTGTAATGAAATAAAGTGGACATTCTCATTTGTTTAACACTACACATAAATATTTAATTTCTCAATAATGTAAAATAATTAACCATCTGTCAGTAATTGGCAGTGGAACAATGAGCAGTGTGACTGTTGTCTAATTAATAATCCAATTACATCCATTATTAACTCTCATTTTAGCCCAGTGTGTGGTCTAAGCAGGCCCCCCAGGCTCCTCTCGTCCATCCATCTTCTCCAGCCTTAACCATCACTGAAGTCAGTGCCGGCTGAAACCAGAGGGGAGACAGGAAGCAGCCTGGAGAGGTCAGCAGTCCGTCAGGGGCCTGAACCACACAGACACATGAACACTCGTACCTGTTCAACCTTTTTTATCTGACAATGTCTGAATCCAACGTTTCCTTGGTCAGAATGCAGCCAAGTTGTAGTTTTTGCAGTTTTCATGGCTTTTATTTTGATATTTCAATTTTTCTTTCTAGGGCTGCGTATTAACAAGCATCTGTCGATACGATACATATCATGATACAGGGCAACGATACGATATATTGAGCTATACTATGATACAATAGTCACAACGATATATTGAGTTTTTTCCCCCAATGTAACTGTAGTCAAAGTGTCATCATAGTAAAGACTCTGCTGCTGTTCCATCTGAACATCAGGTTACTAACATTGGAACAGAGGGATCTACATTTGGAATCACTGGAGGAGAAAGAAAAGAAAAAGAAAATGAACCAACACCAGGAATATTTGACTGAGAATTGGTGATAAAAAAAATCAGTACACTGATGGAGGAGAGTGATACGGTATCAGGAAATGGAATATTACGATATTTTGTGTATGGATATTTTCTTGCACTCCTATTAAATAAATAGATTAAATACACTTTTTTTTAGTCCACAAACATCTGCTTTTTAGATTCTCCATTCTGAGCTGGACACAGACACAGATATAATTTATGTTGTTAATTATAACTACGTTTCTGAGTTTATATTAGCCACACAGCTGTATGGGCCTTTAATGACTGGAATCTAAGGCTCTGACAATGTAATTCAGCCTAAAAAAGTCAGTATTTGCAGTTTGCAGTAGGTCAATAAATTATTTAAAACATTACAACATTAATGATTTAGAATAGTTGACAATTTACCAAAATATATTACAGTGAGGATGTGTGTGTGTGTGTGTGTGTGCACTATAGTAAAGTAGGTTGATTTACTAAATGCATGTGAAACTAAACTTTGTGTCCTAGAACAGCAAATGTGGTGTGGACAATTAATGTGACATCACTTACAGTCTGCTGTCCTCAATGGGCTTGTGTCAATCGTGGGTTCACCAGTATTTGGAAAAATGTATAAATTAACTGAACTCTTTCATCAACATTTTGTTTCAAACTTCTCCCACGAGGCTGAGGTGATAGAAGTTTTAAATATTGTGATCAAATTACTGCTAATAATGAATTAATGACGTTAATAAAGCTGTAAATAGTGTTTTTAAAATATATTTGTGACCATTTGGTACCTTATGATGTTTCTCTCGCAAACATAATATTTGGCCCACATTTTATTGTTTAGTTTCCCATCTACATGATCTCCTTTGTGTTTGAACATTCACGACACCTCGACGTCATCTACCCAGTCTGAACTGTTCTCCTGCCGAGACGTTTTCCTTGTCCGCTTTTAAATCCAGACTTGGAGCTGGTGAGAACAGACTCGTGCAGCGATTGGTCGATGAAAATGGCGCTAATCACTATGACTTAGCGGCAGGGGTGACAGGGGCTTAACAAGCGTGTATTGTAACAACAGTTAAAAAGAATAATTTGATGTTTATATATGGTGTAAGTTCACGAGTATCACTCTTCCACTGCCGTAGTGTTTTTGGACGGAACAATTGAATTTTAAACGATTCCATTTGGAGGAGTCGTTGTTGTCTCCCTGTGAAGAGGAGCGAAGTGGTTTGTCCCAGTCGTGGTCTGCCTCCGCCAGCCTCCTATACTCAGTGGTCTGGTTAAAAATGAAAATAACCATCCGCCGGTAACAGCGGCGGAGTTGGAGGAGAAGGAAGTGGGGGAGAATGTAGAGTTAGCGTCTGCAATAGTGGCGTTTTTTTTTTTATTATATTAACATGAGCATGTAGAGAAACGGAGGGCCTTCATGAAGAGCCCCGGGTTAGAACCAGTCTTATGTCGGAAGAAGCCGTCGCAGCCGGTGCTTGCTGTACTCTATTCGTCTATTTATTCCCGACTGAAGCTGGAATTCAGAAACACGACTTTGACGTAAATAGATAGACCGACTTTTCTTAGCGCTATTGTATTCATTTTATTCGGTGTTTCTTTTGTCAAGTTTAAGCGACACGACAAAAATGTATAACACAGTGTGGACGACGGAGAAAGCCGCCGAGGAAGGAGACTGGAGGGACGTGATGATGCCCTATTCCACGGAGCTGATATTTTACCTGGAAATGGACCAACAACCACCAGGTAAAAAACGTATCAAATAGTCAAAGTAGAGTTCTAAATCCGAGCCGAATGTTCGAGAGATGACAGAAAAGCTGTAGAGGAGCAGATGTCACGTTCAGTGTCTCCTGCAAATGCTCGAAAGTTGAAAACCGTGAATACCGCTGCTGGAATACGGCTGCCGCCACACACCCCCGCTCTTTACACAGTCATTAGAGTCTTCCTTCTCTCTGGACGTTTTCATAAATCTGACATTTTCTGGCGTCTTTGACTGTGACAGTGCTGCCAAGTCTTCAGGATATTTTAGAGCTCCACGTCACATTCGCCTGTTTTTCCATACATTCATACAGACAGCAACAAGGACTCGACTTTACCGATTTTACCCCGGTATCCACGTCTCCCAACCCCCACATGACAACGCTTAAACACACCAGACACACATTGTTTCCTTTTCCGCACTGTAAAAATTATGCCTTTTCACTTAAGTCTGTAAGTGTAGCAAAGGAAACTGAATTTAACAATATAAACATTCAATAGAATCTTGTATTAAATACAAATAAAAGCCTGAGTAATTCATGACTAAATTTTACAGCAAACCAGCACTTCTTTTTGTAGATCAGTCTTAAACAGATCTGTTGCTTTTCTTCATTTCTTTGGTGCCTAATTAATACAGATTGTGATACTGAAATGTTTGGTTCATTTTAGGGATTTTGATGCATCATTTGACTCTTTCTGTCATTATACAGACTCAACAATTAAATAACATTATTTGAGTTGTAGTTACTAACACAAACATAAAAAAGAGATCTCTTCTAGATCATGGATCATGCTGTAATCAGCTATAGCCTGTGCCAACAGTGTTTAAAGGGGGGAGGTATACAGGAGAGAGACAGAGCTGGAACAATGAGCCAGTCCTGCAACAATAAAAAGAAAGAACCAGAACGTTTTATAATCGTAACATTCTTCACTGACACACATCTGAGTCTGTGAACTCTGATCGGAACCACTTCCATCCATCCATCCATCCATCCATCCATCCATTCATTCATTCATTCATGCACTACACTGCAATTGTGCCAGTGTCACTTGACACCCCCTCTTCTCCGTCTCCCCCTCTCCCTGTCCTCTCAGCTTCTTTCTCTCAGCTGAATGGTCCATTGTTAGAACATGGGATGCTGTGTTGTTTGCAGGAGCTGCTGTTGAATGCACTCTGCCCAGTAGCACTATCTCCGTCTCTGTCCCTGTCTCCCCCTCTCCCCCCGTCCTTTCTCCTCCTCCATCTGTCCACTGACACTCACTGTGTACCACAGACACCAGAAAGTGCTGTCCTGTTATGTCACGTAGAACGTTTTTCATGCCCCGGGCTTCATGACATCACACTGATTAGACAACAGACGGTGTGTGTGTGTCAACCAGTTCTAGATCTTATACTTTAGTTCAACTGAAGCTTCTCTTGCTGTTGGTTCATGGTAGAAAAGCAGACAATAATATGGTTGGTTTATTTGTCTTTTGATGATGCTGTTTGGATTGCCCCCCCCCCCCTTGTTAGACTGAAGGTGCTCAAAATGGATCTATTATTTTCATTTTCTTGACCAAACAAACAACTAATCAATCCATTGCAATAATAATTGACCAAGACAGTGTTATTGACTGTATTAGATGGTTCCACTTCCTGACCGTTTTACTATGGCCACTCACTGTTCAACACACAGCCGACAGGTGGAGGCCGCTGTCATCAGACACGACGTTTGGAACGTCACATGTCACGGCTCTGATTTAATTCCATGTAGTAAATGAAGACAGAAAGGGTGTGTTTTTGACCCAGTGCTGAGTCAGTCAAGACTGGTGAGATACAGTGATCCTGTAGAACTGACATGGAGGACAAGGACAGCACCTGAGGACACTTGTTATCTTCAGCTGTTCATTCTTTTCTTAATTTATTTAAATAAACAAACTAAACATGCAACGCCGTCGTCTCTGCTTCTCCAAAAAATAAGAATAAATGACGTCCTGTAACGCCAAGTAACAAAGAACCCTGCTCACGTCTGTTAGGCTGGTCAGAGCGAACTGATGGGGGGGGGTGGGGGGGGGGTCAACAGTCAGGGATGAGAGAGAAGGAGAGACGTGTAAAAAAGCACTACAAGACACAGATGTTCATTAGAATGTTTATTACACAGGGATTGAAATGTGAACGCCTCAGTGACAGAAAAGTGTGTGTGTCTTTGTGTGTATGTGATGATGAGCACAGGTGGAGTGCCCCCTCCCATCTCCCCCACCCCAAGGGACAACAATGCCAGTGTTTCTACTGACAACTCTGTCTGAAGGTTGTGTGTGTGTGTGTGTGTACATGCATAGTGGGAAGCGTTTTATCTCCCTCCCAGTGGAAAATCACAGGGGCATCATGTTTAAAGGGCTGTTTCAAAGTTTTTTGAATGTTAATTCCACCATGAGTTTTGTTCCAGTTTCCACAGTAGAAATGGGTGACACTGGGTGACACGGTGCCTGCTCTGGCCATTATTTAGTGTGACTTTAATTGCGGTATAATGTTGTTCTGCATTGTTATGCAACTGCACTGCTGCTGTGGTAACAATAGAGCTGCGGAGCTGCTGCTGCTGCTGGCCACTGGTATGGCTGTTGATGTTGAGGGTTTACACTGAGGGTTTCATCAAATCAATAAGAAATCATCACATTTTCAAGTTGTGTAATTATTTTATCAAACATTTTTATGTGAGTTGAGAGAAATCTTTTTAATCTGTTTTAATGTTACAAAAATGTTCCAAATGATTTTTGGCTTTTTTTTCTCGCTGCGTTTGTCTTTTATACCTGATCTCCCAGGAGTCTTGAAACGGGAGGTTAGGAAGTGGATTGGATTTTAGTGGAGGATGAGTGTGTGTGTGTGGACCCTGTGTATCTGTTATGTGTGTCTTTGTTATGGTGTGACTACAGTGTGATGCCAGTTCTTCATATGATTATGACAGATTGGTCCAGGAAGCTTAAACAATGACAAATATTTAGAATTCTTTTGTTGAGAATTCAGGCTCCTGATTCCGGCAGCTTCTGTCCACATCACAGCGTCTTTGTCACATCGTTCACGGTCGGCTGATTTAAAGAGTCGATGGCTCTTCACACACTGATGATTGAAAATTAATCATCTGCTGAACAGGGATGGACAGACTGTGTTCCATTTTGGAGCCTAATCTACCCAGTGCTTGTTTGTCTGTCCATATGGACTGTAATGATGGTCATAATCTCAGCATAAATTAAACCTCCTTCCAATGACAACGAGGCTTCGCTCTGACCTCAGAGCAGGACCACCATCTCAACTTAGTGTTTGCTGCTCCGTGTCTTTGTGCCTTTGTGTCAGCTGTATGTCAGGAGCGGCTCTTTGTTGGTGGATGGAGTTTACTCAGTTGTCGTGGAGATGCATGTGTTGGAATGTCAGTGAAGTGTCATCATAGTAAAGACTCTGCTGCTGTTCCATCTGAACATCAGGTTACTAACATTGGAACAGAGGGATCTACATTTGGAATCACTAGAGGAGAAAGAAAAGAAAAAGAAAATGAACCAACACCAGGAATATTTGACTGAGAATTGGTGATAAAAAAATCAATACACTGATATTGAGGATATGGTATCAGGAAACTAAACGTAAAAGTATTTCAATATATTGATGTTTAATCACACTGTGACTTCTGACCTTAAGTACTTGATGAATTGTGAATAGTTGTGAAGTCAGCCAGGACTGTTGATGATGTTTATTTATGATATAATGTACCTGAAGGCATCACTGAGGAGTTGGCTTTAAGTTCGAATTTATTCATAAAAAGTCCAAGAATGACAGTGAAACGGTGAGAAGAAGTGAGTTTTTTCAGCTGGAGCCTGGAGCTGGAGCCTGGAGCTGGAGCCTGGAGCTACCTGTTGATTTAGAGCTGGATGCTGCTGCTGCTGTTGTGTGTGTTCATTACCCAGAAGGAATTGATATACTACTTTGTTACTCCACCTCCCTCCTTTCTTTCTCTTGTGGGATCTGCAGCTCCCCTCCCTGTATTTTGCCCTGCCTCCTGATTGGCTGTGGGGGCGGGCCTCCGTGCTGTGATTAGTTGTGGCGTTAGCGTGTAGGCATGTGCCTGTTATAGGATCAGCCCTCCTGGCTTCTTTTCTTCAGTGTGGACAGAGTGCAAAGCAGCAGCAGGAGGTGGTGGTGGAGGCAGTGGCAGTGGAGAAGGAGGTGGTTGACGCAGGAGGAGAGTGAGAGGGAGAGAGAGAGGAGAGTGTGAGTCCATCTAGAAAGAGAAGAAAGGTTGAAGTAAACGGCGGAGAGCAGAGTGGCAGCATGCAGCTGATGGAGAGTCCGATGGTGGAGGAGGGTAAGAGGAGAACCAGAAGATCTTTCTTTGTCCGTTTCTTTGTCCTTCTGTCCTCTCATCATCTGTCCTCAGTGTTCACGTCCACAGTCTCCATCATGTCCATCTTCTAATTTCAGGGTTTTTTATCTGACACTTGGCTTTTTTACTCCTTTTTCCATCTTTTTCTGACTGCAACTCCTTCTCCTTCCTCTTCTCTTCTTCTCTAACTTTCCTTACATCCTTGGACTTCACTCCTTCATTCCTCCTCCTCCTGCTCCTCACTTCTCTCCTCTCCTCTGTTACTTGACATCAAGTGTTTTGTTTTTAATCCAACCCACTGTTGTCGCAGCTTCTTAAAACTTTGTTTTCCAGTTTAGTCTTAAGCTCATGAAGAATCCCCATAATGCATTTCACTTTTATGCATTAAACTGTCTTCATTACATTAATGTTGACTTTTTTTATTATTATTATTTCTGATAATGAGGTAGAACTTTGGTTTGAACAGGTGATTATTTTACCTCCATGTGTGCATGCGTTCACAGCTGAAACACGCCCACATGCTGTGGAAGATGCTTACACACACGCGCGCACACACACACACTCTCAGCACCTGCAGCTTTTCCTACAGTCGACTCTGGTTTCAAGTTGTGGAAACAAATGTTTTTCTTTTCTCTTGTGCTCTGCTGACAGACCAGTGTCAGTGAGATCTTTGTTTGCAGCAGTAGCAGGTCATCAGCTGATTTTCTTTTTTTCCTGAGCTCCTGGTTAACAGATCACTTCTGACCGTGCTGTTGTGTTTGTGTGCATGTGTGTGTCAATCTGTGCTGACAGTCATTGTTCTGGGTGCCTGTGTGTATGTGTGGAATGACTAGTGATATGGCTACATGTATGCACACGCGTGTATGTGTGTGTGCCAGAGTGCTGCTCCTTTGTCTGCTGAGTGGGAGAAGGAGGAGGAGGCGGAGGAGGAGGAGGAGGAGGTTGCGCTGACGGTCCCCTTTGTTCACCGTCCCTCACTCTAGCGGTGCGTTCTGCAGTAGCATTGCTGACTGTTTTCAGGTGATTTGTGTGGAAACCCACGCAGTATCAACATTTTCTTCACCTTCAGTGACATGTACCAACACTCCTTTCTTTGTTGGGGGGGTTGTCATCAGAAAGAAAAACTTAAAAAAGGTAAAGAAATTTGAGGCAAAGAATAAAAAACTGGTCAGGTTCAGCTCTACAGATGCTGCAGAGGTCAACATTGGCACTTTATCACCACAGGCGTGAGGTCAGAGGTCAGCATTGTTTACGGTTCTTTACTGTCCTGTTGTGACCACGAAGTGGAAAGTTGCTGTGAAACCAGTGTTGTTCTCCACATGTCATTTGATTGGTTTCTGACGTTCTGAGTTAATGATGCCCAATTGTCTTGGGCAGAGACCCCTAGTGGACAGGGCTGTAAACAAGCTGGAATAAAGAAGAGCCAAAGTTGAGGAGTTTGGAGATGGAGTTAGAGAAGTGGGGTTTGAACCTGGAATTGATGTTGTGGATAATTAGAACAAAGGATGTTGAAGATGGAGCTGCAGAAGCTTCAAACAGACATCGCTTTAGTTTATTTTCTATGAGTTGATTTAATGAGCTCTGAGCTCCACTTACAATCCTGAATTTATGTGTTGTAAGTTTGGCTATAAAGTGGACTTTTACCCGTGTTCATGAAGGTGTGTGTGTGTGTGTGTGTGTGTGAGAGAGAGAGAGAGAAGTTTGGCAAGTGACAACCACAGTCACCGACTTCAGTGATGGTATGGAGCCAAGAAATGGTGGGGGTGGGGGTGGTGGTGGTGGTGTGTGTGAACGGAGGGACAGTGGAGTGTGGACCAACAGGAGGTTGGAGAAGAACAAAGAGCAGCTGTTGTCGGATGTCTGTGTTAATGTCACTGTGATCTCAGTAAAACCTTCTTTGATGCTTTAATTTTTTTTTGGCGTTGCTCATAAAGAAGAAAAAACTTACTTTTATTGACTTAAATCCTTAAATTCTAAAATCAACTGTTTTTTAATACAATTTAAAAATTTTGTTTTTAATAATATTTATTATTATTATTATTATTATTTCATCTAGTGTGTAAATTATAATTTAAATACATTTCTGTGCCTTCCATATTTTAAGTGTGTCCGTTGTTGTTACTCCAGGCACACAAGCTCAATGTACTCGAACAACCCAGTTTTGGAGCCCCCTGGTGGCTGTCATGGCTTCTGCAGTCTTTGTTTCACTAACACTTCATCTTTTTACCTTAAGTTATAAGAACATGACATCAGATTAATGAGCCGAAGGATTGAAACATTTGCAAGAACAAAAAAAGGTCAAAGTTAAACAAATATAAATGGGAAGAAACAAATACTTCGAGTGTTGTCTGGACAAAGAGGTGTGTGTAGTGAGGTCAGTGTTGTTAATGTTCTGATATCCACCTCCACTGATGTCGACAGGGTCCATTATTAACACCCGGTGACCACCGACCAAATTCCTTCACTGTTCTCTCTGTCAATGCAGCTCTTCCTGTGCATTGTGGGTCAGTTGTGTCGCCGCCAATTTGTGTTCACCGATGCTCACACTCCAGTGCTCATCTGTATGTGTGTGTGTGTGTGTGTGTGTGTGTAGATTTCTGTCCTGGCCTTCACACACTCTACTGCTATGTGTGTGGAGTCCAAATGAAAGGCACAGGCTGTGATTTACAGAACTGTATCAATATCCTCCATCATCATAAGCGGATGAAAATGAATGGATGGACTATAAATATGAAAGGTCCTGATTGGACAATGTTCACTTCACTTTCTCACTAATGATTTTTCTGAAATACTGTGGTCGGCCAACTGTTTTTGGTTGATCCAAATCAGTGTCAACGTTTCCACTTCTACTGTCTGATATCTTTTCTTGTTGATCACAGTCGCTCCTTTGACAACCTTAGCTTCTTTTATCACTTCCTTGTTCCTTATGATGCTACAAATCCACCACTAAGCCATACTGTAAAGACACATGAGAAACACCAGCTTTTTAAGGTCCCATGGTGATTTATGGAATAAAAAAATAAAAGAAATAGCACAGAGCACAAAATACCATCAAAATCAGACAACAGTTCTTACACACACACACACAGTCAGTTAAAATGAATAACTAAGTTATTTCCAGTTAAGTCCATTTCTTATCACCAGTCTGGTCATCATTATAATTGTGTCTTTTTGAATGTACTTGTGTTCATGCTCTGAGGACCACACACTATTCTGTGGTGATGTATGACTGAGTCATGTCAGTGTGTGTCTGTGTGATTAATAACACACCCTCAACAGCTGCAGCTCTGCACCATGTGTCCACACATGTACTGTACATACCAGCTGCAGGTTCAGATTTACATACTAGAGCGCTGTGCCTCGTAATGAAACGTTCAATTTTGCTGCCACCGATGTCGGTTCACGTGTGTGCAGAGGTTTCTGAATGGTACTCATGTATAGAAGGTTGTGGTGTCAACATCAGCAGTTGTGGACACAGTAAAAAAGAGGGTTCTGTTTCTGGCTGCAGAGTCCTGGACTACAATAAAAGACAACGCTCTCAGGACACAGATGTCTTTTATTTTACATAAAAACACATTTTCTTCTCTTTCTTCTCTTCAGCTCTACCTCCAAAGCCGGCCAAGTCCCAGCAGCCCTCATCAGTGGGTGTCGTGGGAGGGGGCAGTAGCAGCAGCGGTGGAGCCAAGGATGGAGGAGCAGCAGGATTGTTGCAGGAGGCTGAGTGGTACTGGGGAGACATATCCAGGTGAGTCACCTGAGACACCGGAGTCTGAGGTCAGCTGGTCCACAAGACCAGCGTGTTTGGGCCTCAGAGCTACATAAATGTAGGGTTAGTTCACACACACACACACACACACACACACAGTCAGATGACAACCACACCTACAGTGGAGACAGTCAGTCTGCCACCTTCAGTGGACACACACACACACACACACACACACACGCACACACAGATGTATCCAGAGCAGGGACAGGGTCAGACCAGTCCTTCCAGTCTCTCTCTCTATCTCTCTACATCACTTCACCTGACAGACTGTTTACTCTGAGGTGTGTGTGTGTGTGTGTGTGTGTGTCTGCGGGGGTGTGGCCCTCATCACCTGACTCTGATAATTGGAGGCAGACTTTTTTCATCTTTGACTTCCTGTCCGTCTGTCCTCAGGGAGGAGGTGAACGACAAACTCAGAGACATGCCCGACGGCACCTTCCTGGTTAGAGACGCTTCAACCAAGATGCAGGGCGACTACACACTGACTCTGAGGTACAGCCCCGCTGTGGACTGTTTTCAGAAGAACAATGTTGATTTATCTGGATGAGTCCTGATGAATCATGATCAGGACTGATCTACAGCCACTCGGTCAATAAACTGAGACCTCATACAAATGTCTCTGTTTTTCTGAATGATGTCACTACCTTTGACAGGAAATTAATGGGTTTTTTGTCACTCAGTAAATTCAACATAATAATAAATACTTTTCTTACACTTTACCCAAAAGTCTTAAATTTAATGCAAATATAATTTTAAATTTTTTGAACATTTTTTCCCAAATGCTTTTGTTTTGTTTGGTGTGTTCAGAAAAGGCGGCAACAACAAACTGATAAAGATCTACCACCGGGACGGGAAATACGGCTTCTCTGACCCCCTGACCTTCTGCTCAGTGGTGGAGCTCATCAGCCACTACAGACACGAGTCTCTGGCCCAGTACAACACCAAGCTTGACGTTAAGCTCATGTATCCCATCTCTCGCTTCCAGCAGGTTTGTACCCACTGACACTGAAGTTCTAAGAGCGATGAACAGACCAAACACTGTAGAAAACCCTGAGGTTCTCCACAGGTTCTCATCTCCGTGATCCTCTGGAACCTTTAAACAGAAACTCAGGACACTGTAAAGTCTTTATGCTGATGATCTTGAACTTTATTCATGTGTCCAGTCTAATTATTATAAACTCACCTTCGTCCCTCAGTTGGTGCCGCAGCCCAGAGGTTTCACTCCAGCAGCCTGTGGACCAGGGTTTCCTTGATCCCTTAAATACCTCCTCACTTAATTAAATTGTATTTATTTCCTCACCCCTTTCCTCACCCATGTATATGCCTTTAGGTCGTGACTCAGTGTGGAGCAGTCTCCCCTAGTTTTAAACTGAGGACCAGTCCAGATGGTCTGTTATGGACCTGTTGTAAACATGATGAGAACCTTCAGAGACCAACCTCAACCTCGCTCTAATGCTTCATGTCTTCTCGACCTTCTGTAGGATCAGTTGGTGAAGGAGGATAACATTGACGCTGTGGGGAAAAAGCTTCAGGAATACCACGGTCAGTACCAGGACAAGAGCAAAGAGTACGACAAACTGTACGAGGAGTACACCAAGACGTCACAGGTACACCACTGGTACTACACTGTACTTCTGTCCTGTCTTTGAACTTTAAAGCCGTGGTTGCAGCTTCCGCCTCTGTCATATTTTTATAAAGGAGATCCAGATGAAGAGAACTGCCATCGAGGCCTTCAACGAGACCATCAAGATCTTCGAGGAGCAGTGCCACACGCAGGAGTGCTACAGCAAGGACTACATCGACCGCTTCTGTCGAGAAGGCAACGACAAGGAGATCGAGCGGATCATGATCAACTACGAGAAACTCAAGTCTCGGCTGGGCGAGATCCACGACAGCAAGGTGCGGCTGGAGCAGGACGTGACGACACAGGCGATGGACAACCGTGAGACGGACAAGAAGATGAACAGCCTGAAGCCTGACCTCATACAGCTCCGCAAGATCAGGGACCAATATCTAGTGTGAGTACTGACCTGAGGTCAGGGTCACCTTGACTGCATAATTAAATAAACCAAAGACAAGACGTTCACGATCAGGATTAATAGTCAGAGTTTTCCCTAGTGGCCAAATGACGAAGTGCAACATGGTTAGGGTTAGGCAGTAGCAGGTCATGTCAGGTCAGAAGAGCAAACCTGTTGGTGTCTGTTCCTCAGGCTGACTGTGCTGTATTTCCAGGTTGAGGTGGATTAACAGGTAAACAGGGGGATTATGGACTGGGTTCAAACAAACAAAGATTAGGGTTTAGATTTTTTTTCTCAGAAAAACCTGGAATCCCTTTTCTTTGAAAACTAAAGAGAGCTCAGAAGAGCCTTGTGATCACAGTAGAAATGACACCTCATTCTTACCTCTGAATCAGTTGCCCTGCTGCTGGAGGCCCCTGGGCCACTCACCTTCTCCTACTGCCTTTTTCTGAGAACAAGTTCACCAGCATTTTAATGTCCCTGGCCTCGACCCAGATCATTCTGTTCTGCCTCGTGTTTGTTCACCATTAACCCTGCAGGAAATGAAAGAGTTCTTTATACTGATCCCTAATAGAACCCTCACTCTATCCTTCTCTCTCTGTAGCTGGCTGAATCACAAAGGAGTTCGCCAGAAACGGATTAACGACTGGCTGGGAATCAAGAACGAGAGCACTGACGAGTAAGTCTGCAGCTGAAGAAAAAACTAGGGCTAAAGCTACAAACTAGAACGTGGCTAACACGTCACTTATCAGCTGTACGCAAGAGTGTAGCTAAAGCAATGCTAACATGATGATGCAGTGATCAAACTCTACAACCAGTGGAGGACATCGGTACCAGTGTGAATGTCTTCTTTATTTCTTAATTAAGTTCTGGCCCAATTTTTACAGGGTTAGATTTGTATCAAACACTGCAGTAGTGAATCATCAAACAGGGCTTTTTATGTGTACTAAGCACCACCTGCAGGCCAGTGAAGGGGAGAGCATCATGCTCAATGGTGACAAACTCAAAATCCAGAATAATTTGAACTAAAAACACTAGTTAAAATGACTTTTGTCTTTAAGCCACCAGAGATGATGTCTGACTGTCTCAGAAGT